TGGCGGGCGGAGGGACACGGGGCCTGAGGCGGCACCGCGACCCTGGCAGCGGCCGAGCACCCGCCGCCCGCGCAGGGATAACCCGTCAGTGCGGGGCGGGAAAGGGAGCAGGGCTGCGCGACAGGACGGGAAACGCCTCTCCTGCCCTGAGGGGGCGAAAAGGGGCGGGACGAGTGCGGAAAAGGGCGGGAAGAATGAGGAAAAGGGTGGGAAAAGGCGCCATGAGGGGCGGGAAAAGAGGCGGGAAGAGCGCAAGGGAAGGGCGTGTGAGGGGTGGGAAACGGACGGTGAGTGGCGTAAAAAGGGGCGGGAAGGGGCGGGGGAAAGGGTGGCAAAAGGAGCTGGAAAAGGAATCGGGCGGGGCCCTGCGGTTGCAGCTGAGGTGGTAGGAACAGGAGCAGTGAGGTCATGGATGTTTCAGTACACAGTTCACAAGGAACCCACCAAATCATCTCTCCCCAGGAAGGCGCAGCACTCCACGATCTTGTACAAATGCTCCAGCCCTTCCGCAGCCCAGGGATAATTCAGAAGGAAGTGTTCAAGTGTCCCGCTGTTGCTTTTTTAGCAGCTGCGAAATCGTCCTTGCATCCCGTCAAAGACGAGCTATTTATATGGGAAGACTGAACAAGCTGCCCTTTGTTTTCTAGCGAGCTGTACGTGAAGCAAACAACAAACACTGCCTCCACACGACAAAGCTACAAACACATCAACATGTCAGTGCATCCATCTCCAAAATCCTGGTATCAGGGGGATAAAGGCTGTAAGCTGCCATGGTGTGACAGAACTGGTGAGTTTTTCAGTGCCAGGGTCCCCAGATCAGTCCCTCAGTCCCTGCCGGCGGTTCCTTTGTGGCTAAGCCACTGGGAACAGGGGGTATTTGGAGTTTTATCAGAATTCCTGATAATTTCCTAGTTTATTTAGGGAATGAACTGGACTTCTGTCTGATGAGTCTTGTCATAAATATCACTGACCTCTCGATGGAGAGAGCCACTCCTGCTACCTCCCATGAGGCTCTTGCAGTTGTGCCTGATGTTTAAAAAGAATGCTAATTTTTTTTAAGTTTGAAAAAAAAAATCAACCATGCAATTTCTTAAAAAACAATTATCACATATTAACAAAGGTAGCAGCATCCTGTAAATGTTTACAACCTATACGTGTGTGTGCGTGTGTATATTTACACTCTGAGGTCTGGTACATTCATTTTTGCTAAAATACGTTTGATTTTTTTCCTAGCAGATTTTAATGTCACATTGTTATAAATTCAGTTTTGTGAAGGAGCAGTCAAACACTTCCACATTTAATTAATTTATTTGACAAAACTACTTTCACTGGAATTATAGTAGGTGTTTTCCTGAAGAATTTACAGATTGATATGGCAGGAGCTCACTGGAAAGTTCTGTGAGGGCAGGAGTTTGGTGGGTTTTTTCCTTTCTTTTTACTGAGAAGCAGAGAAAGGCACACTGTGGCCAAGCATAACCACAAATAAATTGGATATTTGTAATCCTTTCAGTAGCCTATTAGCCTATCTAGAGCACAGATTGTGGCATCAAAGTTCTAATTAAATTGCACCAGAAGTTGAACGTGGTAAGTAAAGCTGTGATGATACAGATAAGCAAAACAATAAGAAAAATCTCTCCCTCCCTGCTCCAGGCGCTGCTCAATTTTTGTTAGGGTGTATCGCAACAGTGGAATCGCAGATAGTTCCCTCTGTAGCTGTAAAATTAATGAAATTAGGGAAAAAAACATTGGAACATTTTCCGTAGTTCAACAATAGGGGGCGCACCTGCCCAAGGAAATGTCCCACGGGAAATGGGGTCTGGAATGGGAGGTTTTCACACTCGGGGATGTGCTATTAAATAAGAAAATCGAAGCTGCCATCTTAAATTATAGAAAATTTTAAATATACAAAATTAAAACTAATTGACTAATCCTTGGATCATTTTTTTTTCAGAATTCCAATCCAGTCTCTCATGTTTTGATTTTTGTTTAAAGGTAGAGCTGTATCTCACATGTCCAACAGCTCAATTGTTAAGAAAAATACCAAACCAATTTGTTGCCCTTTTACTGAAGTGGGAAAATATGATTTTCTTATTTTGTGGGTCAAGAAACCAAAGAAGAGCTCGAGAGTTGGTTTTTGGTTTTTTTTTTTTTTTGGTGGGGTTTTTTGTTTTGGTTTGTTTTTTTTTTTTCTTTTTTTTTTTCTTTTTTGCAAAGCTGAAATCCTGACTATTGACCACTAATTATTAGATTGGAAAATTTATAAAGCTGAAGGTCAGACTCTGCCAACAGATGTTAAAACATTAGAAGTGTGTCAGTTCTATGTATTTGCCCATTTTTACTTATTATATGGATTTTATTATATTATAAAAGTTGTTTTGTGATGTTTTGAAGGTGCAGCATGCCAAGTAACCTTCTCATTTTGTGACATACTTTCATATATGTATATTCATTCATAGATATAAACACACATATGCATAAAATGTTAGTTGTCACACTATGATCTGCCAGGAAAATCTGATTCTTTGTATTCTGATTGATACTGGTTACTTCAGAAAACCGCCATTATCTCTTAAAACGTAGCTGCTGTGTTTTTGATTAAGTTTTTGGAAGCCAAGTTTCTTGATTTCCATGCCATGCTTCTCTGCTTTTCCTTCTAACAGAGCTGACAGGAACGATCTGCTTCACTGACGTTACCACAAGGAAGTCCAAAATGTAAAAAACCTCGGTGATTAGCAATGATTAACTTTTCCTCCCACAGGCTACTTGTCTGTGCATCATGAAATCTGATTTTGCCTCTGCAGACCTGTTAGGAGGCAAGAGGTTCGGAGCGCAGCTTTCAAACAGGGCACCGAGCAGATGTTTCAGTTTCCAACCTGAAGAACAGGTTCTGCGGATGCAAAAGGAACGAAACGTCTGTTTGGCATTGTTACCACCCTCCGATTCCTTTTGCCTCCTCCCACTTTGAACTTGTTACCCTGGAGCTGAACTGTTTGAACAGGGGCTATAAAACTGCTTTGTGATCAGAGAGCTGAGAGCCCTCAACATGTGAAAGCGGGGCGGGATTTCGCTCCAGACTCCGCTGGTCCTTCCTTCCCTCCTGCCGGTTTTGTCCCGGGTATGAAGGTCGGACGCTCCGCGCAGAGGAGCCGGGACAGCCCACCTGCACTGCCCGGCTGGGAGAGACAAAGGTGTGTGTGGCGTTTGCTTTCGGCTTGCTTTGCTACTTTCTCTTGCAGCGATCATTTTGGTGTACTTTTAACACTTTTGCTCACTCTCGGGCGTTAGAAACAGTTTACAATACGCTACCCCAGAAACATGTGCAGCCTTATAGCTGTAACAGAATTTGCTGCTACTTTTGCTCTCGTCTTTTTGGAGGAAGAGGGAAAATGAAAAGAGCATCATGTCTAATACTTGTTTTATTTTATCATACTTTCTCTTGTTCATGAGAATGTTCAGGAACCTTGGAATTTTGTTAGTCCTAAAGTTTTAGATTCTCTGAGCTTGTAGGGATGAAGTAAACTGCATTAGCAAAATTAGCAAAAGCTCAGACTTTTCTAACTAGACAACTGCTTTTTTTATGAAAGACTACTGCATTCATTCTGAACTGATAACCTGAGCCTTGAGCTTTCCCAGGTGTACGGAGCCAAAATGAAAACTGACTTGGATAAGAAAGGTTGGATATAAAATAAACTTCAAGTATTTAATTAAAATACCAGTTTAGCAATAAAACGTGGCTGACTGTGTGACTGAACAGCCAAATTTTAACTTTGGAGGAAAGACGAGCATGACACTTTGAAAAGGTATACATGTTTTTATTTTTGAAAATTTTTAAATTTTTTAAAGTTCTTTCCTGGAATAAAAATGTGGGTAATGATTGCAAAGATGTGGCAAATAATAAGGATGGTTGGATTGCTGGGGCTGTGCATATTCCAAATGCCTCAAGCTTCAGGGTTCAGATGTAGCTCTTAAATATACCCTGAATCCTCAGGGTGATAATTTCTAGAATCATGTTCTGTTTCATGGTAGAGGTAGGTTGCCTGTTATAAAATAAAACAGGAGTAAGAGTCACTGCTGACTATGGTTGGTTTGAGGTAGGAAATTGATGCTATGTTCAGAATGGAGCTCAAAGTTAACGTATTGTTCAAAAGAATGTGGTGAAAGTTTTGTCTACTAAGACAGCTTTTTCTGTCCTTACTGAGGGTGCAAAAACCATGCTGGGGAGAATTCCTTCTGCCCATCATTAACTGTGAGAAACTGTTCAGTGCAAGTTAGTGGAGGGGGGTGAGTGCCAAGGGCAAGGCTGAGTGGTGTCAGTCACTGTGTTCTGGTAGCCTCAGAACACAGTGGGTGTCCCCACTGGCTGTGGGGACAGGGAGAAATGTTAACTTGGCTCTGAGCTTTTCAGCAGGGAGCACTGCTTGTTGCAGACTCTTTGCTTTGGGCACCAGGGGTTTATTATGGAAAGTAGAGGCCATGACCAGGTACAGAAATATTTGTCATATCTTTTTTATTTATTGGGCTTTAATAAGCACTATTTTACTAGAACTGCTTCTGTCATACCCAGTTTTATAATATAAACCTGTATGACTGAATCTTGAAACACTCAGGGCTCACTGATATTTAATGACTCTGTTGGCAAGATGAGCTCCTATAATGCAGCATATTTTGATTATTCTCAGCCAAAGAACAAGTTTATTCTGGCTTTGCAAAAAAGGATGATAACATTCCGATTTATAGCCAAGCTCCTTCTACATTCTCTGAA